TCATCACACAAACTGAGAATTTTTCTAAATATTGAAAGACTATTTTACAATATGTTGGTAGTATTCCTTACAAGAATTGTTTTTAAATAAATAGCTTAGAGGAAATTCGTTAATTTTGAGATTCATGGTTTTGCCAGGCAGAAAAATCATTTCTAAAATATTCACATTTGATAGGCAAAAAAAAAAACAGTATTGGCATTGTGGTATGGTAGGTAATCAGAGTAAAAATTTTGAAATAACCCATTCTTATAACTATCAACAGAATAAAATTTAAAGTATTATAAACATATTGTTGCTTTTACGGATTCGTTGATTTGGAGTGATTGATGACAACCCTTGATGAGGAATCAAAAACACAATTTATTCGCCAATATTACTCAGGGGAGTTCCAAAGACGCGTTACAGTCATCGAAAAACTATCAAAAGCACGCTGAAGCAATCAGCAACACAACCTTTAGGCTATCAGACTATAACGGTAAAGACAGCTTCACGAAAAAGCACTAAACTACAGCTCCCGACTCGGTCGATCGTTCTTGAGCTAATGTCTGAACTCAATATACTTTATCTACTCTTATGATAAACTCTTACTCTGCGTACAGGCAAACCTGCCTTCGAGAATATTATCGGGAAAACCGGTAAAAATCGACGATTTTGTCGCCAAATTGGCGATTTCGCACCAAATATGGAAGCCCTACCTTCCTTGGGACTTTATGGCAACCCTAAATCCGCTTTGCGGAGAGGTTATCTTATCTTAGTTGGGCATTTCGTAACAATATTATTTTTATCAATGGATCTGATAGTTGGTGATGTATTGTAAAAATAAACAGAAATTACTACAACTTGAGGAGAGATAGTTATTTATAATTTTACATAAATGTATTTTAAGCGCACTGATTTACACATCTAGATGAACCGTCTATTTTGGTTGTATGTAACCTATAAATAAGGATGTGAATTTCCACCAAGAATAGACGACTTTTGTAAAATAATATTATTATTCATATATGCTGCATATAAACTAATTAACACTAAGTGCAGCTAATATTTGTCGCATTAATTATACAAACCAGTAATTGTGATAATTGAGCCATCATAATTCTTCGGTTTCTGGCGATGCACCAGTGCAAGTCTACCTATATGTGCATATGTCTCTTTGTTGCTGTGGTGTATTGAACACCTTTAAATCTTCCCGAAATAATAAATTAAGTACATTTCTTTTCGTTCATCTATCATATAAATGCTGTCTAATTCTATTAAAAGAAGGAATGACGAATGCACAAAATAAAACGGAAACAGTGTTTCAGCTATTTCAAACTAATTCCGCTCCGGATAATATTGTAAAATGTAATGTTTTTAAGGAATATTACTAGAAAATATTCTAATAAATATAACCTTTTCTTTTATTAACTATGCAATTGTCGATTTCTCATAAGAAGAAGTAATCAAGTAAGTAATAAGATCAAATACATGAATATTAGACCTTTAATGTGTGATACAGAAGCATCGATCTTAATTAAAGAACAATAACTGTGTATAGTTAATCGATGCAATTTTAATGATGTGTAGATTCAACTGGAATTGCAGCATCAAGAAAAAAAAGTAGTAGAAATTTGAAATTCACAGGATCGGTGGGCATTCTAATTATATGCAATAAAAACGACAACCTGAAAGAAAATATTCAAATCAATTCGATTTGATCAGTATAGACTATAACTTCCATAGGTGGAAAAGCACGGACTTGACCAATTTGAGATATCACTGAGGTATTTAATTATTGCTTGACAAATATTTTGCCATGTTATTAGTGCTTATATATATGTAAAACATTAATATTAAAAGCAGGCTGTTTCTTCTTAACTTTTGCTACAGGCAATGTATTGCTGTAGCTCCACATGTGCTCTACAGGAGACAAATTTGAGGTACAACGATCCATGGTAGAACGCTAATATTGCGCAAGTTATTCACAACAGCATTGCCATATGCAGTCTAATGTTGAAACACGGCTCCTGAGATAATTTATAGTCTATCTCATCGCTTTAATCAGCCATAGTCGTAGTCTATCTCATATAGACATAGTCTGTTTCATCGCCATAGATCATAATCTATCTCATCGACCAAAGTCATGGTCTACCTCCCCAACTAAATCAGCATAATATTCAACTACCAGTGTTCCAGGAATACTGTACTGTAGATGTTCTTCTATCATACATTATGCCGACATAACATTATACGAACCTCGCTTTTGGAATAGATATTATTCCGAAAGCAAGATTCGTATGACGTTAACACGTGAAGGCTTGTAGATAACACTGATCACGTCGTTTCCAAAGTAGTCACCAACTATTATTATTATACTCAAGATTCATTGCTGAAGGGGATAGTTCTCCATTTTAACTTCCTCTGCCTCCGAGATATATATTATAAAAGCCTTATTAAGTTAGGGTCAATTGAACACCAGTCACTGTTCATCTAACTCGCAAACCAATATCACAGAAGCACCTTCTGATGGTTTTGTAGAATGTACACTGAAGAATTTCTGGACTTGATGTGCGTAGTACATGGAGTACAACTTTACTCGCAGTTTAGTTGGTATCTCTGCGTGCCATATTTCTAATTCAATAACTCATCCCAGAAGTTAATCTTTTGCCGCTACATGTTGTCATCCAAGGTCGTCGTTAATCTCGAAACTATAGGAATATGCAGTGTTGAACAATGCCGATATTTCGATATTTTTGCCTGAATCGAAGTGATAAATGAATATTTCCGAGTTCAAGAATCCTGTCCGTCTCCATTTGAGAGGTAGTGATGAATGGCTCTTCGACTAACTTCAAGCATTGCACCGTAAAACTACAACATATAAATTCTGTGGTCTCGTGTAGCCGAAACCAATAGCACTCGACCAGGATTCTCCTCCCACACATCGCTGACTGTAGCTATGTTCTTAATAATGTTATGATCGTTTGTGTATCTTAATTGCAACTGTGAGTTTCCAATTTACATAACACAAATTTTCATCTTTACAATTTCAGTGTTGAGTAATGTATAACAATTATCTCATTTCCTAAATTTATGGCAAGAGTCATAGTATAAGTAAAATAATTAAAAAAGAAAAAATATATAATTAAAAGTAACTAATGCAGACGTCATGTACACACGTGAGCGGTAGAAGGCGTTTTACTCTCGTATCGTCAGTCATGTCTTCCTTCACATTTACTCATCTTTCATCCCCTATAGACCACTTAAATAAACTGACCTATGTTCTACACTCTTCCCGCACCTGTTTCAAAAGAACTTCGCTTCGATTATTCCTAAGTTTAACTATAAATTTCACATTGATTCATTGTCAATCAATAAATTGGTCAACATCCCAGCCATCCCCTATAGACCACTTAAATAAACTGACCTATGTTCTACACTCTTCCCGCACCTGTTTCAAAAGAACTTCGCTTCGATTATTCCTAAGTTTAACTATAAATTTCACATTGATTCATTGTCAATCAATAAATTGGTCAACATCCCAGCCACGCTCGGTAAAGTTAGCAGACAATCATAATTTTGTCAAGTTTGTTTCCATATTCTTGAGACGTAGCATTATTCTTAAATCTAAAAATGATTTTATTTATTAAGATATTTCATTAAATGGAAATTTCACTCAAATAAATAGTTTAACGTTTCCTCCTTTTTGATTCAATAATTCGTTTTCATTTTCGCTTTTGAGAACTTCTTGTAGGTATAGAACTAATGTAAGTTAGTTTCAATTCTTTTTTATGGCCGGGCGCTTTATGAAAATGGCGGGCACTAAACATTTCAGGCTTTGGCCACAAATAAGGCCAAAAGTGGGGGTCATTTTATTATGAAAGCACCTAATATGCGACCACCATTGCCTCCTATGAAGGAACAGACAAATCACTTCCTCCCCTTCTCCGAGATTGGAAACCGAACCCTTCGGTAGGGCAGTCAGAGTCACTAACCACTTTCTAGTCTTGGGCGGAAGTAACTGACTTTTAGGAAAATGGAATGCAGGAGGTGCGCTAAACTACACATACTCTATTCCATGCAAAATTCAAGCAAACTCTTAACGACGTGTGCAGAGCTAAGCAAACACACGGATGTGCGGAGTTCAAGCAAACTTTGCTTAAAATCTACTTGACTCATCTCCTGGGCTGCTGTTCTTCAGAACTAAAGCGGGATTGGGTAAAGTCGTTCCTCTACGCACAAGCTGCTTAAGGCTCATGCCAACGACAGACGCAATCCTGCACTTCTTGCCACGATAAAATTCATGGCCTTGTTCTGATTAGTTCATACAAATGAGATTAGCCGTAAGAACAAATATTGTCATCAAGAAAACAGTAGCGACATTGTGATTGTTTTAAAATTCTAAAATTTAATTTCCCTAAAATATGAAAAAAATTCTACCTCCAAACGGTTCCATACATACACCTTCCCTATTGTACCCATTTGTTCGAGGATAATTCCATACCTGGCACATGTTACTCCGAATCCCAGGAAATACAGCTAAAATTTGGAAGAATGGTGCTTCGAAATAATGTTAAGTCGCTACCAATTTCAAATTAGCAAAGCTTGATTTATTCCGTTGAACTCGTATAATGCAGAGCATAACTAGCAAAAACTTTAGAAGGTTTAAGTATCCATTGCCCTCTCTTCTAAAAAAATTAAATCAGATGAAAAAAATTTCATATATGAATAAAACGTTAATAAGCTAAAAACTGCAGAACTTTAGCTACAGTCTTCGCGTCTCTGAGAACATTAAGCATATTAACCTTTTTTTTTCCTAATCCGAACATAATGTTTAAGAAAGGTTTGTTAAAGACGTCGAACGCTTTGCCTTTAGTATTACTTAAAAAACGCCATATTAATGTGTTAGCAGAAATATGTGATGATATTTTATAGATAGGTGCGCACTAACATGCGCATTTACGTGCGCATTGAATCAACAACTTTTACTGTTTCATATGAAATCAAAATATAGTATTAAATAAATGACACTTAAGTATGCAAGCTTAATTTTTTATGTATATGTGTAGGTTATGCAATTTAGTTTATTTGTATGTTAGTTTTTGGTAGAGTTTAGAAGGAGAGGTATGGTTTTCTGTCAATGCTTCAGAGCACTGTAGGCATCTTCTTACGACGGCAGAACTTTCGCCACCTCTTCTTCGATAGCAGTTCCCCCGCTCCAACAGAACTGACGTCCGTTATAGAAGACAGAGATTCAATGCTAGAAGCTTTCGAACGTTCATCTATAACGAAACAAAGAGTAAAAATTAAATTAAATGCATCATGCTGCCTAATTCGTAAATTCCTTTAAAACTTTATTAAGAGTAAACACTCAAAAAGGGTTATATACACATGTTTGAGTTAGTGCATATGCAGTATACAGTAACTACCAATAAGTATTTAGACACCTATCATGGAAATGAAAAACGAAATTTATTCATATTCAGGTTCTAGGTAGAGCCTTCCCAAGGAGCAATTACAGCCTCAAGACCTCCGGGGTATGCTTTCTACGAGTTCTTGTATGACCGCTATTGTAATTTTCTTCTACTCGGCTTGGAGAAGACTATATTAGTTCCTTCACCGATATTTTACGGTTTTTGCACCCCTAAGTTCGGCGATCCAACTCATCCTAGTGGTTTTCGCTAGCATTTAGGTCTGTGCTTTAGGCAGATCAGTCCATTCGGTTAACTCCATCGTCACCATACTAATGCATAGTAGACCTCACAACATGACAGCTGGCGATGCCGTACTGAAAACAGCATGAGTCCAACCAGTAAACCTGCCACAATCGTAGGAAGTATACTATCGCCCAAAACAGTGCCTTAGGCATCGGTGTTGAGTTAACCATGAATTTAGACAAAGGATTCAGTCCATACCAGGAGAAACACTCCCAGATCATAATTCCACATCCGCAACTTTACTGTGGACACAATACATTCTGGCAAGAGGCGTTCTCCAGGCAGACGCCATCCCCAGCCCCTACTGTTCGAACAGTAGATGGTGAACTTTGATTTGTTGCTCCAGAGAACTCGCTTTCACTGATCAATTGTCTACTGTCACTGCACACTACTGTCTACTTTGCACCATATTGACGGAGCAGTGCGTTTTAACTTTTTTTTATTAAAAAAAAATAAATCCTCGTGCACCACAAAGTATCGCACGAGACTTACAAATCGGAAGTAAAAAAGGCAAAATTGTAAGTAATAACATCAGTTTTCAATAATACAATGAAATCATGCACAAAGAGAAAAAAAACACAAAAAATGTAAATACAAAAGTTTAAAAATGTATAAAGAAATCATTTACAATGTTTAAAATAAAAGTCAACAAAATTGTTGAAAGCTCAGTAGGCCAAAGCTGAAGATACAAAATCATAACATTTCGGGGGCCAATGAATTCCAATTAATTTTAATCTGCATTTCAATAGATTTCTTGCTTTATCAAGCAATGGGCAGTCAAAAAGCAAGTGGAAAACACTTTGCTGCGCTAAGACTGCAATAACACATTGGAAGATGTCAGCTTAAATCGTTTAAGATAAACATTAAACTTACCATGTCCAGACAAAAATTACGTAACTTTAAAATTGAGCAACAAGTCCTTACTTTTCAGTCTTTCAGAAATAGTTGGGAAGAATGTTTTAGTAGCAGATCCCTTATCAGGAGAGACATAATCACAATTCCACTGCTCAATCATTTTAGCTTTGAATGTTTTTTTTTTTAAATAAGATTTTGGAATTATTTACATCAACATTAATATCATTTTTAGTTGCATTCTTAGCAAGCCAATCAGCTCTCTCGTTTCCATAATTACCCGAATGACCACGTACAAATGTAAAAAACATTGAAATACCCTTCTTCTCCAGATCTCCGAGAGACTGCTGTATATCAACAATAATATCATTACATAAAGAGGTATTTTTAAGGGATTCCAGGTAAGAGAATGAATCCGTACAGATTACGTAGCTGGAATTACGTCCATCCTGGCTAATTATCCACTTAATTGCAAAATTAATACACAGAAGCTCAGATAGTACATTCATTTCTAATGCGAAATTGGTGACACTCAATTTAAATATCATCTTCAAAAATAACATAAGCAAAATCAACGTTTTAACTTTGTGATCTTTATATGGGCAGCAGCATAACCATGAAGAAAGAGCATGTGTGCTTTCTTATAGATGGTATTCATTGAAACAACACTCTCAGTTGCCTGTTGAAATTCCTGGAGAGTGTGGGCCATCGGATGGATGCGGTTCTTCCGAATTTGTTTGGACAGCACCAATCGGTCCCTAGCTTTCAATTTCGCCGATCTGCTGACTCGAAGCACATTCCGATAATTACCACTCACCTTCCACTTTTGAATCACATAGGCACGGTTCATTCTGGGTAATTCAGCTCACTAGATATGCCCCTTAAGGATCGGCCATTTTTGTGATACTCAAGGATTACACCTTTCCCGAAATCAGATAACTCTGCACTTCGTGGCATTTGCATGCCGCTAATGCCAATGTTGTTTCCTACATGATATTTGGAGATGGTGGGCGTGATGTATATCTGGACCGAAGATATCGGCATTTGCATGGCTGTCCAAATATTTTATTGGTAGATAGTGTATAGGTAGAGTAGCTAGTAAACAGATTACAAATATCATCAAAATAAAGCTGCATGAATTACTTGCTTGGCAAGCAGTTCGATTTTCCAAACATTCCTTTATATTTAAACTAACCTAGCTCTTTATGAGATCCCAATACTTTTTGCATCCATAGTTTTGGGTTGTTGTCACAGCCGCATACAGACCAGTGTTTGCATCGTCAGCGAAACAGGCATTGCAAAAGTGAGCTTTCAGGGAACCAAAAAGTGAAAATCACTTTGGGCTATCTGTAACTGTACGGAGGTTGTTAATAAAGTTACCGGGATCTGCAATAAATGTTTTACTTCTCAGTATCACATGAGATCTGACATTGCCGTCATAGAATATTAAGCGTGATATAGTGCACCTGGACATTTTCTATACACTGCAGCTCAGGCCTGCAACGTTAGATTGTAATATTATGCCGCTGTTTCATTCGCTGTTTTCCTCCTAAAATGGATTACTAGTAGACTAATAAACGCATTTACACTTCACTCCTTGTCTCATATAAATTCTCTCAGTATGATAGCCATTTTCATTTTCATTCTTTCCACACCCACAAAACACAGTATGTTTATGAATTCAACCATTGTAAAATATGATTGTATTATTACCAGGTTATGCATTTTGAAACCATTCTTGAATATTCTTTTTATCCCAAAGCAGTTTGTAATTCATTTATTGACTTTTTCTCGTATAATTATTCCGATAAATGCATATTCATGCCAGAGAATTGCAATCGATTTTAGTCCTAAAAGTACTTTAGCAAGCAATTCAAAACAGACTTGCAGATTGAAAGGTAAATGGATCCAAAATTGAAAAAAAGCATAATATAGTAAAACACGCATAAATATGCACATTTTACGTGTAGTTTATAATATGGTGAACCATGCGCGTTTATATTCAAAGCCTAAATTAATCACTCTAAAGCACAGGCAATAAAAGAAAGAAAACTTTTGTGATGAACCAAACCATAACACTGTTTAGGAGAAATTTTTAAAATTCTTTCCTAAAATAATAAATTATTAGTTTAACGTTATTGTCTATTAATGATATAATTCTGTCTAACAGCGCTTTGCAATTTGGAGTACGCGGTAAAGTTTCTGGGGTTATGCCATAATATTTCAAAATGGTAAGATCGAATAACAAAATCGTTATGGTATTGATAACAAGTAGCTAAATCTTTACTTAAGCACTTCTAAAATTCTTAAAATGTAATATTTTCAATTTCGAGATTCTTCCGCATCCGGAGCCCATACGCACTGGCCATAGGATAATACTGGTAGTTCAACCGAGGCTCGAATCCCGGCAGACAAGCTGCTAGCTTGAGTAATTTCGTAAATTTCCTCGCTTGTCTCGTAAATTTCTTCGTTTGAAAATATTAATGTGTTTCTTTTTGAAAGTTCTACATTAAAGGTATCTCTTCTCTTATCATAATCAGTCTTTTCCCATTTACTTTGGGGAAATATGTTCCACTATCCAACGAAGAAGAATTGATTGGAATATCTTGCGACAATAGTTTCAAAAGGATTACTTTCAAAACCCTCTTCATTACTTTTAAGAGAAAGAACGGAGAAGGAAAATTCCGTTTTGCTTAACATAAATTGCTGTTATAACTAACAAATACTTAATTACAATTTCATCAAATAATTTTTACCTTTCGCAGAAATTACGTATATGAAGCTAGATTTTTTTTTTTACATTTAGTTTCTTCAAAAAGTGTTATCCAGAACATGCAGGACTACAAACGTCGTTGTGACTCTATCTTAGTAGGGTAACGCCAACCATTGAGGAGCTCGGCAAGCGTAAACAAGCACACCTAATTCCCTGTTTACTCAATTAAATGCTTAATACGATTTATTAAATTTTTGATGCCGCTTTTGGGTTTATCAATATATGTAACTAATTAACTAACATCTATCGTAATATAAAACTAATGTAATATTACAACTCCAGTGTTTTCGTTTCCAGGTGTTAAGTGTACGTCAGTTTATGTAAGTTGTACGTCAGTTACATATGCATTTCCATCCTACTGTTTTTTTTTAAATTCCTAAGATGTTTGCATCTTTCTAGAACTACCATGATAATATACCCTTCAATGAACCTTCCATTAATTCGAAATCGGATGACCGGAAATTTGGCTCAATCGCAAAAAAGCTAGTGAGTGTTCCAGCTGAAATAAAGTTTTTTAACTGCTAGAACCTAGTAGAACCGTGTAGCGACTATTAGCTAAGTTATAGTTACCGTAAATAACAACTCCGAAGAAGGGTTAAAATACCTTTTATTTGAGCTCAAGTAGATTTACAAATGGCCCCCTCTTGGGCGTACAGGAAACCAAAACTTTTGGTTTGAACTTAAAAATAAAAAATGTACAACTAAACTAAAACTAAGTATAATAAACAGCCTAAGCTGCACAGAGTCCTTAACCTTAGTTTTCGTCTAACTAAAATCACCAAATCACCCGCTTAGACTAACAGGCACGTAATAAGCCCGGCCGTAAACTAGCAAGCATCGACTAGCAACTAACAACATAGGCGTAAGGCAGAACACGCTCTCTCCATTTAACAGAAGCAGCTCATACCTCAGCTTACATAGTAGCTCCTACCGTAATTTG